AAAAAAAAAAAAAAAGGAGGAAAAAATATATTTCAGAATTAACGTATCTATTTTTAAAAAGCCGTAAGTGCTCACTGCAGAAAAAAACGGAATTTTAGGACTCTTTTCTGTTTAGTTGTATAGCATTCATTTGACCTTGACTTCCCTACTGGGTGGTGGTCCCATAGTATTTTCAGTGCTTAGGGATTTTAACTGGTCCTTTCTATAAAGGGTTTTCTTTTCTTTCTTTCTTTTTTTTTTTTAATAGAGACAAAGTTTTGCTCTATCACTCAGGCTGGCCTTGAACTCCTGGGCTCAAGCGATCCTCCTGCCTCGGCCTCCCAAAGTGCTGCAATTACAGGTGTGAGCCACTGCACCTGGTCATGTTTTCTTTTTTCTTTCTTTTTTTTTTTTGGAGACAAGGTCTCACTTTGTCACCCAGGCTGGAGTGCAGGGGTGTCATCATAGCTCACTACAGCCTTGAACTCCTGGGCTCAAGCGATCCTCCTGCCTCAGCCTCCCGAGTAGCTGGGACTACAAGCACATGCCATAAAGGGTTTTCAATCATAATTGTAATCATTACCATAGCTGCTAATATTTAATGAGCTAATATTTACAGGGCCAGGCATTGTTCTAAATGTTAAGTGGATTAATTCACTGAAGGCCCTTGGTTTATGTGGCAGGTTCTAACAATACCCCATCTTACAGGTAGGAAGAGTGAGGATCTTAGGGACTTAAGAGATCTTAGGGAACTTGCTCATGGTCGCACGGCCAGGAAGTGTGGAAGGCTAAGAAAGTCTCGTTTTTTCTTTATGGACACTTGGCCAGGCAGATATCCTTACTTCTTCAGGTGAGAAAACCCAGTTGGAGAACAAGATGATTTGCTCAAGACCATACATATAACTCAGTAGTTGTAAATTCTGACCTTGAATCTGACCTCCAAAATACACCTGTTATAAAAATGGCTTAAAGGAGCCGTTTATGCCCCAGAAGGCCAACAGTGCCCTAAATGCTACCTGCCCCATGAAGTGCCCAGGAGCCGTGGTGTCCCCTTTCTGAGGTCACAGCTTACCGGGCGCTGCAATCCTGATGCCATTAACATCGGTCAGCTCCTGGCCCGGGCGCTCCTCGATGACGATCTCTTGGCCGGTCTGGAGACGGAGGTCACACGAGGAGCTGGGGGCGGCCACGTAGAAGGGAATGCCGTGGTGCTTGGCTGCGATGGCCAGCTGGTAGGTGCCTACCTTGTTGGCTGTGTCGCCATTGGCGACCACTCGGTCGGCTCCCACGACCACGGCTGGTGGGGGTGGTGAGAAGTCGGGGGTCACTACCCGGCCCTGGCCCCCCGAACCCCTTGCCCTGCACCCAGCCCACTGACCTGACACGCCCCTGTGGGCCATGGCGGCTGCAGCCATGCTGTCCGCGATGAGGGTGGCGGGGATCTGCTCGTACACCAGCTCGAAGGCCGTCAGCCGGGCTCCCTGGTTGTAGGGCCGGGTCTCGGTGCAGAAGGCGTGTTCCAGGCGGCCCATGGCGTGCAGGGAGCGGATCACACCTGTGGAGACCCCGCCCACCAGAAAGCCCCGGGGAAGGGTAGAGAGACATGGCGGTCCAGTGGTTAGGGGTGCGGGCTCCTAGATTTCTTGCAGTGGCTGTTCCCTCTGCCTGGTACGCTCTTCCCAGATACCGGTATGGCGCCCCCCTCATCTCCTTCACATCTGCTTAGAGGACACCTGCTCTGTGAAGCCCTCCCTGATTTCTGGATTTCACACAGCGACCCCCCACACCTCCGATACCCTGCTGTCTGTCCTTAGCATTTGTCATCCGTGAACACCTCGTGTGTACGGTTTGCCCTCCCTGTCTGTGGGTTCTGCCTCTGTGGATTCAACTACGTGACTTGAAAATACTTGCAAAAAAAAATAAATAAATAAAGCACCTGTACTGAATGTGTAACCTTTTTTCTTGTCATTATTTTCTTAACAATACAGTATAGGGCGCAGTGGCTCACACCTGTAATCCTACCACCATGGGAGGCTAAGGCGGGAGGATCGCTTGAGCTCAGGAGTTCAAGACCAGCCTGAGCAAGAGCGAGACTCCGTCTCTACTAAAAAAA